TGAGAATCACTCTTGCCGTCACTTGATGCTGACACAATAAATCGGCTATATCTTCAAGATTCCTTGAAATTTTGTAGGGGGATTCTAGAATTAGAGTAGATTAGAATTAAATCAAAAAAATGTTGACGCCGAGAATGAGGGGGGGTCCCCTTAAAGATTAACGCTTTGTATACATAGTTCCACATTACCATCAATGTACCTTTTAAAATGTATATGAAAAGAAAAATAATTCCACGTATGTATAGGCATCGCAACACTGTGCTCATATAGCCAATTATTATCAATGGCCATTTATTTACTCCCAATTCATTTACATTAATGTGCTTTTATTTGGAAAACATGCTGATTTTTTCATAATATTTCGATTAGCTTTTGTTTTTTATTCGAATTAAAATTGTATTAATTTGTATCACTTTTTGTTGTTGTTGCTGAAACTATAATAGAATTTACGAACTGAATAAATATTTCAACAATTTAAATTTTTTAGAAAAATACCATTTATCACTTAGCCTTTATTTTGAAACCAATAAATTACCGCAATTAATCATAGCACAACAAATTTAATAATGTAAATAAACAATATCGGCATTAGAATTTATTTGTAATTAATTAATAAATGTGCCCTAAATTGTACAGCTCTGATGTGAAACATCGTATAAAATGTCAAACAATGACAATCATCGAACTAATATTCGATGATAATTAACATTTATTTTAAGAACACTTACAAGACAAACAATATACATAAAAATATACGATATGTATGTGAGTACTATTTACAAATACTCTAGCTAGACACCATTTTAGATATGATCAAATATTAGCAATTTTAAGTTGTTGTAACATTGGAATGACAGCTTTTATAGAAAACTAGTAACCAAATTGGTGCTGTTGGAAAGCCCAAGAAGATGTCAATAATGATGCTCATACTGGTTTTTTTGTTTTAAATAGTAAATCTAGTAAACGGGGAAATGTAAATATCTCTCTCAGAGTACAAAATAATACGAAATGTTTTGAAACGAAAAACTAGTAAAAATCTCAAAATTAAACACTGCAGCCAGTCAATTTGAATTAAATGGAAACCACATTTGACGTAGCAAAGTTTATATACCCTCATTAGTCATAATGTCGAGTGTATAACAAGTGTATAGAACAGGAGCTGTTGAGCATCTTCAACGACAAACGAATCATGGATGTTTAGGTATGTTATTTAAATCAAAGCACAATCATACCAAAAGAAGAACATATCAGGACCGAAAGGATTAAAGGGTCTGTTGCCTGTTTTCTTCCACTGCTATGACGTGGTGCGTACGGTCAATACGGTTTCCCATAAAAATGTGGAAAACAAGTCAGGGATTTTGAACGATAGTTCACAATTCGATGATCGTGCGTAAATTTTTGAGTTCCCGCTTCCCAAAACTGAAGACACCGATGATAGGAAAGTGTTTTGCTATGATTGAGGAGATAAAATAAAAATCGAAAGTTAAGCAGTGTTTCGAAGCTGACATAAGTATATTATATTTGAGGGGATTACTTTATAGGGGACAAAATAATAATTGATGAATAAATACTTTTTGAGAAAAATCGAAATAATGGTTATTTTCTGAGCATAGCTCGTATTCTAAATTTATTTTAAAGACTCTGAAAGGTAATCTCAACCTAGAATCTGGATCGCATATTTTAGATTTTATCGCATATTCGTTCTCTCATATCGATGGGTCAACCATCCCTTTTTTATAATTTTTTTAGGATAATGTCTTATTGTAACAAAAGTCAATGTCTATTTGATACGCTAAATGTTGGCCGATCAGCTTTAAGACCACAATTCTCTTTTGCTGCCATATCCCCTTATTCGTGTTAAATTTCGTTATATTCGGATTATAATTGCAGCCTTATTTACACCTAGAAAAACAGACTAACACTAAGCTTTTTGGTACATTTCATATCCTCAATAATAACCGATTATTATCACGATTTATAGTGTTGTCTTTGTGCAGAACCGAACTTCGTTCCCCAATTAAAAATTAAGATGGACATCGATTCGGGATCAGTTCTGCTAGTCGAGCTATCTCGATCGGTACACCAAAATAGGAATTTAGCACCGAGGTACTGAAACGTAGGAGAAATTGGTATAGGATGGACAGGTATGTAAAGACATAAACGCTTATGAACTGGACAATTAAATGGTTTAATATTTTTCTAGGTATTGCCCAGCACGATTTATACAATTTTCCATACGCTTAAACAAATGGATAAACCTCAAAACCAAGTTTTAACGCTTCTACAGGTTCTTCTGGCGACAAAGATCGTTAACTACGTATTTTTTGATGTGCGGAAATAAAAAATAATCTGCAGTACTATGGTTCCAAGTCTCGAATGTACGACGGAACCTATGTGTGAGAAGTGCATAAATATTTGTATTCATTTCTTTGTTTTTCGAAGACTTCACTCCTAGCTGTACCACTTGAAATTGACCTACTACGCTGCTCAAGCGGGACAGTCGTCAGTTTGACCCGTTTTGCCGAAGAAGTGTTCCTTCCCTGAGTAATGCAGTTTTCCTTCGGGTTCACACGCATAAATCTTTAAAATCACAACTAAATTTATTTGCACCAATCGACAAGATACGGTATCCTACGAGAACAAACTTTTTTACGGCTAGGTTTTCATGCTATATCGAAATCACTTAGGTTGTGGAAAAAGAAATCAATTTTTTGTAAATGATTTAAAACCGTTATGGTCGATTTTTAACTCCTAGGCGATGTTACGACTGCTAACATTCCGGTCAACTTCGATAATTTCTCCGATTTTATCGAAATTTTCGACGACCGGTCTACCTGTGCGATGAAAACCTGTAAAATGTACCGAAGTGTCTCTTTGTTTACTTCCATTTAGAACACCCTGTAACTCACAAAAGCACCATATTTTTTTCTGCGAAATGAGACCCTTCCAACGAGCATAAATCTGAAATTGTTTGACCGATACTTTACGAGAAATCTATCAGTACAGCAATCCGATGAAAAAATAATAAATTTCTTTTTCCCCAACCTAAGATTTTCTTTTTTCTTTGTTTGTTTTTCGATGACTTCACTCCTAATTGTGCAACTTGAAATTGACCTCCTACACAGTCGTCAGTTTGACCAGTTTTGTCGAAGAAACGTCTGACCATTTGTTTCTAAGTGTTTCTTCTCCGATTAACTTTCGTTGAATGTGGCTAATCCACGTAAATTTGTCAAAAGTTATGGCATGACAAATGACAATAAATTCTAAATAACATAACACATGGTAGTACGTCAAATCGTACTCAGTACATTTATCAGAAAATGTCAACAGGTAGCGACAGCCATCACTTAGGTCAGACATATATACCGTGTATTTTGACAAGGAAATTACAAAGGAGTTGAACAAAAAGTGGTCAGCCTTTTAGTGGTTATGCCTTTTCCGTCTCCCATAATGGTTTCGATGGAGGTTTTCTGCACTTCATTAGAAGATCACATTCTAGTCTTCTGATTTTATATTCTAATCGGAGATCCTTGCGATAACTATCCTAACTAACGCATTTCCTTATGGTACTATTTTATTGGTAAGAGTGTTTATATAAATTTTCGATAGAATTTCTGAGTCGATTAGTTCTTAGTTTCGATGAAATATTTTTCTTCGATCGCCACGATCTTTTCGATATTTCTAAGGACTCCGATTTCTATGAGGTGGAAAAGTATATTTACTGGACATTTTCACAAGAGGCCAATATTTTCACATAGCCCCCACCATTTTCTTGAGCAAAAAAGTTATAAAGACACATTGCAGTAGAGGTCATATGTTTTGCAATATCTCCTATTAAAGAGCAACTCTCCATTAAAAGATTTAGCCGCAAGTTCAAAAAAAAAAAAAAAAAATGATTTCAATATAATTAAATGTTTTGAAAAATCCCCCATTTAACGGCCACTCTTTTTATTTCAAAATGTTGAGGGTCCTAGCCGAATTTTCCTACCCAAGTATTTGTAACACTGTGCAATAAGACCGTAAGGGACGGAAAATGACAAGTTTATAAGTTTTGCCGGTTTATTATATCAAAATCCGTTTTAAAAAATTTATCGATGTGGATTTTTCTCCTGCATATAATTTTTATTAACGCGTTTGGCATTATGAGACATATTTATGGTAATATTTCAAACTTTATTCGAAATATAAGGTTTACTGGGCAAAGATTGGGTAAAAGTGGAAATGGCACTTCGGCACTTGTTTTTGGAACCCCTATTGAAACTCTTATGAGCGATATTTTTGTAGCATATTTGATATTTAGTTTATGGTTTAATAAAATAAACACTAAAAAGACCCACAAGGTCTCGAGATGGAACGAGGATATGTTTTAAACTAATATTCCTCATTCGACTTGACTGATGACAAAAAGAATCCACAAATATAAAAATCCTTTCCTTCATGAACTTTAGAGTTACCAGAAACAAGTTTATGACCCTATAACTTAAAAAAAATTGACGTATGGCGAATTTGTCTTTCTGAGCTCCTAATACAATCTCCAATCTCCCATAAGAAATTTTCTCCCCTCATACCATGACCTCCTTTTGTGTCGCAGTGCAATTTGTATTTCCTTTCTCCTCCTGCAGAGAATTAATAATAACCTAATAAATATCCCAAATAGAAGCCCCGACCTTTTTTTTAGTATTTTGGGAAGATACACTGGAGGATATACAACGTTTGGCAGGTGACATTCGTACTTGATTTTGATTGCATTTCCATGGAAAATGGGGGATCTCCTATAAACTTTCAAAACTATCTGTATTGAATTTGTCATCTGAATTGCCCGTTGGAACAGAACAACAGAATTGTAAATGGACAAACAACATATCACCCAAAAACATGCGACACCCTTTATTCTTAATTATGTATTACACTATTGACAATACAATAATAAGTATTTCGTGATAAGCCATGTGTGATATTTTAGTCAAATAATTTTGTTCTTGTTGTTGTTTTTTCTCCAGTCGCTGTTGTCATTTGCTTCTTTTTATGTTGGGCACCATTTCATGCTCAACGGTTAATTGCTGTCTATGGTCCTGGGGTAATAGCGGATGGCGGCTCGGCACATAGTTCGGATATTAAAAGCGACATTAATGATGCTGTCGCTGATGTGGAATTACAAACAAGCAGCGAAGATGTCCGAGACAGTCTCAAGAGCAGCACCGTCAATGCCAATAATAATAGCAACAACAACAACAGCAACACCAAGGATCATCATGAGGTCATTTACACGGTGATGACATATATATCGGGGGTGCTCTACTATCTGTCGACGTGCATTAACCCCTTGCTGTACAATTTGATGAGTAATAAATTTCGCCAGGCATTTAAGGTAAATCGTCTGTCTAGTCAATATTCATTTTTTGTTGCCTATTGATTCATCATCTGTTAACAAATTATGTTTTTTCAATTATTTGTTTAATTTATTGAAAACAAATTTTGGTGTAATAAAAAAGTTATTGATTCTCTTTTTGCATTTCTTTGGTTTTTTCTTTTACAGTCAATTCTATTTGGCAAGAAATCAACAGCACAACGCAGATCTCAAAATTCTCATCGCAGCATCGGCCGTAAAACCACCTTGACTTCATCGTCTGGCCAAAGAGATTCCATTGAATCCGAACTGCAATCGAAGGTGTCATTAATGCAGGTATTTAGTCAAAACAAAACAAAAACTGAATTATGACTTTATTGTTTATAATATTTTGTTGGCGAATAGCTTTTGATGGAAAATATTTTCTACTTGAATTTTATATCTTGTTTTGTTTGTGTGTTTCTTTAATTTCGTTTTATTGTTGTTGTTGTTTCTTTACAGACTGTAATGAATGATCGGAAAATAAATAGCGAGGGAATGATTCCATGATCAAGTGTACATTTTGATATACCGATGCATACCTACATATTTAGTAAAAACAAAACAGAAACAAATTAATTTAAGTAAAAATTATTAATTAAGAAACTATCCATAATGCTGTTTCTCTATGTCGAAAAATGTCTTAAAATCTATCCTTACAATAGAAGTATGTTATAATAATGTTGAAAGAAGAATTCGTTCTATATTGCCATATAGAAACCGTACCATAAATATGGAATTCCTGTTAGGTTAATAAATATACATATTTTATTAAAAACAAATATGTTTCACAATTTGGAACAAAGGCATAAATTTAATTCTGTGAGAGCTGATATGAAATATATTCCCCAAAAAAATATTTGTAATTATGTGTGATCATCATAATTGTGTTTAATTGTAATTATGTTTAAATAATTGAATAAACCAACAAAACATATTTTAAGATAAAATAAATCCAATTAATTCTGTTTACTCAATTAATTAATTTTTTCAAAATTAGCAGGCACAGGTTATTTTTTATAATAATAAAATAAAATTTTATAATAAAATGACAGTCTACTACGTGTTCCTTCTATAAAGTGGACATCGAAGTAGACGACATTGAAATGCCGATTGTTATGGAAACCTCTAAAATGCAATACCTGAGAAAGGTCAACGAGAAACGCAAAGAATGAAAGGACAGTTAATATATCTAGGAAGTATCCGAATGAGGTAGAAGGTATCAGTCGGAATTGCCGACAGATATATAGTCTCAACCTTTAACATATCGCTCATTTGTTGCAAAACCGGGATAAATCAAAAAAATCGATTTTGTAGAAAATACGTTTTAAGTTTTCAAGCTACTCACATCTGTAGCTTCTCAATCCTAGTGTGTAAGGAATATTGATTCGATTTGTTTATACAACATGAAGTCTGATATAGCGAACAATTCTGCATCTTTAACATAATTTCAGATTTTCAACGAGAAACGCAAAGAATGAAAGGACAGTTAATATATCTAGGAAGTATCCGAATGAGGTAGAAGGTATCAGTCGGAATTGCCGACATATATATAGTCTCAACCTTTAACATATCGCTCATTTGTTGCAAAACCGGGATAAATCAAAAAAATCGATTTTGTAGAAAATACGTTTTAAGTTTTCAAGCTACTCACATCTGTAGCTTCTCAATCCTAGTGTGTAAGGAATATTGATTCGATTTGTTTATACAACATGAAGTCTGATATAGCGAACAATTCTGCATCTTTAACATAAGCATCACAATTTTGATTTATGTCGGTCTGGCAGTAAACTAGCGATATCTTGTATATTTTTTTCTGATAGGTATATGATGTTTTGAACAATATTTCCAATTTGTCTGTGGATTTATTCGCCGTTTTCGACAAAATTTTACGTCTAAATCTAATCAGGGGTTCATTTAAAAATTATGAGAATTTGCAGGAAAGATGTCAGAGAATCCCACATCTACATATACAAATATTAATGTGTGCTAGTATGTTGTGGCTGTTACCGCTCGCAAAGTTCGGCCCATTATGTCGATGTCGTCGGCGTAGGCGAGTAACATATGCTGTTTGGCGTATAGAGTGTCAATTTCTGTTCTCGTATGACATTTTCCAGCAGGATGTTAACCCTTTTAGAGTTTTTGTCGAATATATTCGACATTTAAAAGTACTCTCTTTCTTTGGTTATCCTATGTACCGTTACTATTGATGTTTTTGTTTTTGCTGAAAAACAGACGAAACTGGCCGAGGGTTAAAATGGCAATTGCTATTTTTTCTAAACTATACCCCTTTATATGATTTTAAATACAAAATTTTAGATTTCTATTTCGACAAATTTTTTCTTTGACACTGAAAGGGTTAAATAGGCCACACGACAAACTGTCACCTTGCCTGAATCTTCGTTCGGTATTGAAGGGCTCCGAGAGGTCCTTTCCGACGTTAACTGTTGTCCTTGTGGCACTTAAAGTTATTCTGTATAGCCGTATTAATTTTGAAGGAATGCCGAACGCAGACATGTCGGTAAACACCTCTGAGCGGATTGGGCTATCGAATGCGGCTTTTTAGTCGACGAATGGGTGGAATCTGTCGATGTGTTTTCCGTGGGTCTTTTCTAGGACATGGCGCAGTTTGAACATCAGGTCTATAGTGGATATGCCATTTTTGAAGCCGCTTTGATACGATCCATATAATTGACCATTGGCTTCAGTCCATTGGAAACTAATTCCCCTATAGTTGGCACATATAGTCTGGTTTCCTTTTTGTGCACGGGACACAGTTGGTGCATGTTCCTGATCAGCGTCCGGCCATCGGTATTGAATAGTTGGCGGGTATTCGATCGGCGCCTGGTGCTTCATTATTCTTCCGCCGATTAATTGATATTATGGTCAATCTATACCGTCATATATCTTCTTGCTACTTGATACCAGAAGCTTTCAAAAATTCTCCTTCCAGATCCTCATCACGCTGTCTGTATCTGTCACCAGGTTTCCTTCTTCATGTCTACAGGAGGATGTGTCTGCACCTAAGTCTTCTGTTTTATATTTCACTTGTTGGTAAAATTTCTGGACTTCATTCGGTACATCACGAATTGCTCACGCTCAAGTTTTTCTTGTTCATTCTTCTTTTTTGAAAATACGTTTCTTCTCTCTCTCCTTTTTTCCCGATAATTCTCTCTCGCATTGCGTGTTGCTACTGTTTGCATGGTTGACCTATATGCTGCCTTTTTCACCTCAGTAGCATTACGATACTCTTGATCGTTCCATGCGTTTCTTGATTGTTTGTAGGGAGTGAACAATTATTTGCCATTGTGCTGAGCAGTGTAAGCTTCTGCTACAGCTTTTCGACGTCGAGTTTCCGTGTTACATTAGATCGCAGCTATTCTGCTACATTAATACGAGTACAGACCTCGCATCGATAGAACGTCTAAAACATTGGATGAATGCCTTCCGTCTATCACAAAATGATAAATTTGATTTCTCGTTGTTTGATCGGGAAAAATCCAGGTGGCCTTATGTATATCGAGATACTTGAATTTGGTGCTGCTAACTACCATGTTTTTTGCTGCCGTGAAGTCAATCAACCTCATGCCGTTGTCAGATGTTTCTTCGTGGAGACTGAATTTTCCAAAGGTGGGACCAAAAATATTTTCTCCTCCTAGCAGAATTTTAATGTCATGGCCAGGGCATATGTCATATGATGTTTTCAAGCGCCCGTAAAATATGTCTTTGGTCTGTTTATCTTTTCCTTCCGTCGGAGCATGGGCGCTAATAAGACTGATGTGGTAGAACTTCGCTTTTATATGGATTATATCAATTCGCTCATCTACTGGAGTAAATCTGGAGACGAGATCTTTTATTCTCCTATAAGCCATAAATCTGCAGCCAAATGCATGTCTCACTTCATGACAACTACACCTGTCCCTTTCCATCGTATTTCCTGTAAGGTAATAATATCGGCTTTGTACTTCTTTTTCGTTGCTTTTTCACTTGCGGCACATATCAGCTCAATACTTCAAGTACGTATGTATAGAGTATACAGATATTCTACCATGTTTTTCATATGAATTCGATATTGGATTCTGCTATATAATATGAAATATTCAAATTGAACTTGTAATAAAATTTAGCAACAATTATTGGCAATAATTTGATGCAATTCGATAAATGTGTATATTTTAGAATTATTGTGATCAATTTGTATTAAAACACATGTGTGTGGATTACATAGTTGCGGATTTTGTATGTTTACTACATAACGATGCCGTTTTAAAAATACTTTTCAACATGGTTCGCTGCTGTATACCTTCAGGTGGGGTTAAAAATTTCTATGTCAGTATCACTATGCTGAAGGGTATTAAAACTATAGAAGAGATGTAGCCATTTTTCATCCTATTAAAGAACAGCGTGAATTTCTCTCCCTGTAGAAGAGCTGCAGGTCTTCTTCTTTCTGTCGAATATTATAAAATACTCTCAAAAACTCAAAATTTTCTGAAAATAGTCGCATATATAAATAAATAAACAATGGCATCAATTTCAATCGTTTCTATATATTTTTTCGGGAAGTGTTTTTGTTATTTCTATTCATAGTTTTTATGTTTTCAACTTTCAATAATGTATATACTTTATGGGGTTATAATGAAATTATTATTTTTTCCAGCCTAAGAAAAGCTAGAAAATTGTGTAAAACAATAGATTCATTGGGTAAGATGTTTCAATGTAGGATAGTAATTGGGTAAAATATGTGGGTTTCTACTTCAAAGCAATCAGCCGGTGCCATGAGATTAAACATCTGGTAAAAGCATCCGGTAATTTTTATTTCTATTTTATTTTGGAATTGTAGAAGTAAAAAAATACACCCACGCAATTTCCCATGGAATATTTTTTCACGTGCTCTATCAATATTTAAATACGTTCTCTCCCCGCAATGTATAAGAACTGACCTATGTTATTGAACTGACCTCGAATACTATTCAATGCTACATCTTATTATTCATTTCTAAGAGTATCTGAAACAGAATGCAATACATTGTATTTTGCATTTTTGAAACCCAAAGAAATAAAATTCAATATCCAATGACTCTTTTAAATAGTAATTGTCATTTATATTTATAGCGAAAAAAATAATAACACTCAATTTTTTGTATACTCGTATAAATAATAGAAAATATCCATACAAATGGGTATTTAATTTTTATTTATGTGTTGTGTGAGGGCATGGAGATTTCTTTCTCAGCTTTCGTAATATATATGTAAGTACATATGTGTGTGCAAAAATAAAAACAAAATGAGGAACAAAATACGCAAGAAAAAACCCCAAATGTTTCTATTTTGGCATTTCATTATTGTAACGAAATTCAAGAAGAAAAAAACTATATATAAAACAAATGACCTTATTTTGCTGTCTTCTAAGGTTTCATTTCGAAGTAATAAAAAAATATTCCAAATCGTCCATCATAATCAATGTTGATGATATGCAGTTTTTGTCCTCCATAGAAATGTTGAATAATTTCTGGAAGATATAT